CTGAAGTGCCGCTTCCTCGAATGCTCACCTGAAGAGCCGCCTCCTCAAATGCTCACCTGAAGTGCCGCCTCCTCGAATGCTCACCTGAAGTGCCGCCTCCTCGAATGCTCACCTGAAGTGCCGCCGCCTCGAATGCTCACCTGAAGTGCCGCCTCCTCGAATGCTCACCTGAAGTGCCGCCTCCTCGAATGCTCACCTGAAGTGCTTCTCTCCCCTCCGTCTTGCCAAAAGCACACCACACCACACCATACCACTCCACACCACTCCACACCAAAACCAGAGACTACAGTCGGTGACGCTGTAGACTCCCCGTGCGCCTCCCTTGACGGTGGGAAGCTGAGGGAACGGAGTGCAGGTCAGGTTGGGCGTCAAAGCTGGAAGAGGAGGTGCGTGGAGGGCAGTGCTGAGGAATGAGGACGTGGAGCAGCGATGGGCGGGGCCGCCGTGAGGACTTACGAGAGGGGGCCCCACCCTCTCTGCCTCACATTCCAAACGCTGCTCTCCGTTTCTCATTCCCACAGCATCCCAGTCATGCATCCCCTCGTCCAACCCATCATCCACTCCCTCACGTTCCTCTGCCTCACCCCTTGCCAGACGTGCCGCATCCTCGCCTAAAGTGCCGCCTCCTCGACTGAAGTGCCGCCTCCTTACCACACCATACCAGACCACACATCACTACACCTGCTCTTCTGCAGGCGCCTCCGATCTTGAGTGAAGAAGCCATGTTGAGTGAAGAAGCCATGTTAAGTGAAGTGCCGCCTCTCCTTGCCTCCTCACCTCAACTGTCACACCGCACTACACCTCTGCTGAAGTGCCGTCTCCTTGCCTCCGCGCCGGCTCGTTGCGTGAAGTGTCCTCTTTTCCTCATACCGCACCATACCATTCCACACCGCACTACACCTCTGCTGAAGTGCCGCCGCCTTGCCTCCGCGCCGGCTCGTTGCCCGAAGTGTCCGCCTCCTCCTCATGCCGCACCATACCATTCCACACCGCACTCCACCTCTGCTGAAGTTCCGCCTCCGCGCCTCCTTGCCCGAAGCACCCGCCTCGAGCAGAGCGGGTGGTCAGCAGGGCGGGTAGGAGGCCGCCGTGTGGCTGCCGGCCGTGCGTCATCCCACTGCTCGCCACTCCCTCTCACTGCTGCCGTCGTCCCTCTCACTTCTCGACACACAGACAGATGCACGAAGTCAGTAAACAGAACTGCAAAATGGAAAAGAAAGCAAAACAAACACAAGGAAACGAAATGCGGAATTGAAAGCGGAGAACAACACGAGGAAACGAGGTGGGTGGTGGGATGGATGCACGTCCATGATACGCCGGCTGCAGCTAGCAGAGGGAGGAGCTATGCTACCCAAAACCCAAACTCAATACTACCCAACCCAACCTTAATGCTACCCAAAACCCGCGGAGGACATCTATTAAGCTGCAGCCGAATGTATCAGAGGGAAGTGCACAAACGCGAAATGCAGGACGATGGAGTGAAGAACGAACGAAGTGAGGAAAACGAATGACGAAACGGAACGAATGACGAGAAGGGAAGGCGAGGGGAAAGACACTTCCCAGTTGCTTTGCTGCCCACGAGATGCCAGTGTTGCCTTGCTGCTCCACGAGCGGGTGGTCAGCAGGGCAGGAAGAGGCAGCCACACGCCAGTGCCTGTTGGCCGTGCGTCCACCTCAGCAGCGCCAGGATCAGCCAGCAGCACTCCAGCAGCGCCAGGATCAGCCAGCAGCACTCCAGCAGCGCCCGGATCAGCCAGCAGCACTCCAGATGCTCCTGGCTGATGCATTGATGCTCCTCGAGCGGGTGGTCAGCAGGGCGGGTAGGGGCGCTGTCCGCTCAGCGATGGGCTCTCTGCCACTCCTCCGCTCAGCGATGCGCTCCTCCGTTCAGCGATGCGCTCTCTGCCACTCCTCCATTCAGCGATGGCCATGCGTCATCCCACCGCTCGCCTCTCCCGCTCGCCACAGCAATGCAGCGTCATCCCCCCTGCTACTCCAGTTGCTATCGCCCCGTAGTTGAGTCTGAACGAGGAGCAGAGGGAGCAGAGAGGCACAGAGGGTAGAATCAAGAGCAAGAGCAAGAGCAGGTAGCCGAAAGCGAACAAGATAGGAGTGCGAGAAAGCAAGCAAGTAGCAGTGAACAAGATAGGAGTGCAAACAGTGAGCAAAGTGGAGCGACAAGTGAGTGCAGAAGGGGGGGGGGAGTGCAAGGGTAGAGGAGGGAACTAACCTTTTGTGGCCGCTCGTTGCTTTCGCCTCGCCCGATTCGCCGGACCCTCCTAGCATCGCCTTGCCTCCAGATTCAGGATTAACACCCGCAAGTCAGCAGCGTCGCCTCCTCTCCTCGCCAGCAACGTCCGCTTCAGCAACGTCTGCACAAGTCAAACCACCCAGCATCAGTGAAGAAGTACTCGAATTTGTAATAAAGCAACGAAGAAAAAAATTGCTCAGGTTTCCAATATTGAAAGCGCTGAAAACCGTTGGGAGAAGTTCAGATTCAGATATTCAGATTCAAATCACTCCATAATTCATATTCAAATTCAGCTTACCATGGCAGAGCAGAAGTTCCTCCGGTGCAGTGCGCATTCTCAACTGCAACAGCACCTCCGTTCTTCAGCAGTGCAGCGCCGTCCGTGCTTCAGCAGTTGTTTCTGAGCCTCAGGTGCAGCAGCACGCTGCTAGCCTCAAACGGTTTGCTGCTGCTCCCACAAGGTGCAGTGGAGAGCAGCAGGCCTTGGACCTCCTCTTCTCCTCTGCTCCGCTGCACCACGCTGCACCACGCTGCACCACGGTTCTTCTCCACGCTGCTCCACTCCGTGATGCTCCACTCCATGATGCTCCACGCGTTTCACGGCAGACCCAACTCCTGCACGGACAAGGACAGCACGAAACGCAACGAGTGAGATGGAATAAGCGGAAACGGAAACGTCTTAAGGAAATCGAAGAAGCGGAAACGGAAACGTCTTAAGGAAAGATTGAATAAGCGGAAACGGAAACGACTTGGGAAATGGAATAAGCGGAAACGGAAACGTCTTGAGGAAATGGAATAAGCGGAAACGGAAACGTCTTAAGGAAATGGAATAAGCGGAAACGGAAACGTCTTAATGAATGACGGAATAAGCGGAAACGGAAACGTCTAAAGGAGATAGAATAAACGGAAACGGAAACGTCTTAAGGAGATGGAATAAGCGGAAGGCAGAATGAGAACTCACCCATCCGTCCGCACAAGAGATCGCCTGAGATCGCATCCGTCCGTTCAATCCGCACTTTAATCCTCGTGATCCGCGCGGAAGACTGTTCAATCCGCGCGCAGCTTCAGCTCGTCCGAATTCGCGATGACGTTAATTGGATCTGAGCGACCGCTGTAGTAGGTAAAATAATCACGTCGCGAGTAGAAAAACGAACACCGATTGCGAAGTTTCTTCCATTTCTCTCCGAGCGCATACGGAGCGAACGCATCCAGCATCAGATCCCCGTGATGCACACGAGGAAGTGTCGTCAAGCGCTGATCCGGCTTCTCCGTGATGTAATCATGTCGCGAGCGCTGACTGCTTCGCGAACGCTGACGGCTTCGCGAACGCATGCAGCATCAAATCTCCTTCGCAGCTAACGCTTGAAGCGTCGCCTTTCGAGTCGAGAGCAAACCGCGTCTTTATTTCGCCGTGAAAACTCCGTCAGATTTGACGATTATCGGGAGGTGATGAGTAGGGAGCTGATGCATATCTGACAAAGATCCAGATAAACCGACATCTGACGGAGTCCAGCTGAAGTCGAGCCTAAGGCCTAGTGACGAACATCTCAAGAAGGAAAGCGAGAAAGGTCATAGTGACAACTGGGAGAAGCCATGGACTTGGACAAAGCGAATTAGCAAGTAAGCGGCTGAGAGATACTCGTCGAGGAGGACTAAGCTAGCGGAATTGTGGAATAGGAAGGGAATGTGGTAAGCGAGAGTAAGGTGACTCTGCAAACAGCGAAGCGTCTGAAGCATCTATGGGAGGTGAGGGTTCCAAAAACCACGGTTCAGGGAGGTAAAGCGAGTTACCGCTCTTGAATGCACATGATCGTACCCAACCGCTTACGGAACGAGACGTACCCACAATTAAGGCCCAGAGGGAAGGGGAGGGGAGGCGAAGGGAACGAGGGGAGGGAAGCCAAGAGTCGAGTCGCCATCCCCCCTCTGGTGCAACCCCAAGGTGGCGCAGGCCGCAGGCAGAGTCACTTTGGATGGTTGCGCTGACGAGGCGGGGCGGGAAGCCTCGGGAATGTCCGCTGAATGGTGGGGAGGGGAGCTGCGAACTCTATTGACGACTGGAATAGGCTATTCGCCAAACTTGACAGGCCAAGTAACACCGTTCGGCGAATGGGCTATTCGCCGTTTCTCGCTGATTCTGACATCGGATGAGGGTATGGGCATGGTGGCATGGCATCGTTCGCGCCGACAATGAGGAGGGCCCCCGCCTCCCCACCCGTCCCTGCTGGCCGGAGGCGCAAGCCGGTACAAAGTGAGTCGGCGGTTCCGCTGACAGGCAAGCGGCGGGAGAAAGTCCCCCTGTGGAAGTTGGGGGAAGCGCGAGAAGTTTTGCGCCGGCGCGCGCGTGTTGCCGACATATATCCGCGTTTCGATTGTCATGTACAGAACCTGTAGCCTTCCACACATTAACATCCACATAAAGTAGTTCTCACTTCTGATGGACTTTGTAGATCCATATTTGAGTGAATTTATAGCAAAGCCCTTTCCTATCAACTGCATGCAAACACAACACATACAGATGTGGGACAAGAATGGCAATTATTAAAAAATACTCAATATTTGATAGTTTGAGCCTTCCAAAGCTTCTAGGACTGAGTGTGCCATGTCCTCCTGGAGTTTGATTAAACCCATACACCAGCATATGGGAAATCCACACTCTAACAGCACATTCTCAATAGCACACTGTAGCTAACAGTATAATTACACTAGATCTACTACATCTGCATTATTACTGCAAGCGGGATGGCAATCAGCGCTCAAGCTTGCTGACTAGGCTGTCGAGAGGAGGCAGCTCGTTGATAAGATCCGCCCAGTCAGGCATGCCCTGGGGGAAGATACGAGGGAGAGTGAGGGAGAGTGAGAGTGATAGTGAGAATGAGAGTGAGGGAGAGGACACCAGCGATGGTGGACAGAAGCAATAGCGACAGAGGAAACAATGCGGGGAAAGACAGGCAAGTGCGGGCGCCAAACTCACCGTGCCTGACTTGCGCACTCGGCCGTCCAGCCGCAGAACGATGAAGGCATCAGTGCCCTCCGCTACCTTCTCCGCCTTCTGCTGTGACCGCACCCATCTGACCGTGGCCACCATGTTCGTTAACAGTTTTCATGAATTTCAAGGGAGGAAGGGGGAGAGGAGGAAGGAGAGGTGGTGCACATGAGTTGGTCACTTGCATCAGTTGAAGCTTGTCAGCATGCACATGCAGACCCATACAGAATCATTGTGCACATGCACATGCACAAGAGGCTGCGTCTATGTGCACATACAGAATCATTGTGTACTTTAACTCTCACCAATACCACTCCCTCCTGTCACCCCCAACTCACTGGATTCCCTGCCTCCCCACCATTTACTGGCCCCTCTGCCTTCCCCATGCACTGTCCCCCATGTCCTCAACAACTTTCCATTCCCATTCCCCTGCCCCACACCCTTCTCCCCTCCCCACCGCACTCACTGGTCCCACTCCCCCGGCGACACCACTTCAGCCTTGAGTCGTCGGTCCGCCTCCGCCACTCTCTTTGCCGCCGCCTCCCTCGCCTTCTCCTCAAACTCCTCCTGCCGTTGAGTGGCAAGGAGCAAGCACACGGGTGGTCGGGTGGACCACGGTGAGTGGCAAGGAACAAAGAACCGACTGGGAAACACTTTCAGAAGCCTGAGAAAGGGAGCTGCATGGGAATAGGAAATAACTGGACGTAGCAGAGAGTGCAGCAGCCAGCTAAGCTCAAATTGAACCCTTAGAGAGGACATATGCAGCACTGAAGAAGCTGACTGCAGATTCAAGGAGACAGCACACCAGCAAAGGACCAGTATAGCAGTTGCTGCTGCTGTTGCTGCAGCTGCATCTCACCAGCGACTCCAGAGTGGCAGCAGGCTTCTTCACGGCAGCAAAGCCCTTCTTCTTGCTCTCTGCCAGCACCCCTCCGCCCTTGCTCTGCAGCACGGGCACCAGCAGCACCCCCCGCTCCTGCAGCTGCTTGCGGTACCCCTCTGCACGCTTCATTGCCTGCTGCACCGCCTCCTTTCGCCCCGACAGAATCACCTGCACGCACACAGCACGATCAAGAATTCTCATAAGTGACTCTCCTCCGCGCGCTTCATCGCCTGCTCCGCGCGCACCCCGATAGAATCACCTGCACGCACACAGCACAGCAGGACAGGGCAGAACTGCAGCTCCAGTCCCCACGCTGGGACTGCAGCTCCAGTCCCCACGCTGGGACTGCAGCTCCAGTCCCCAAGCTGGTTCCTCACTAGGCGCATGGTTCCCCTGAGCTGCACCAGCTCCACCACCTTGCTCGACTGCAGGCGGAGAGGCAAGCGGAGGAGCCACTCACCTTGCAACTGACGCACCTGCTTTCCCTTTTGAGGCGCCTCAAAAGCTGCCTTTTAGACACACTCACCAGCCGTGTGGTTCCCCTCAGCTCAGCTGCACCAGCTCCACCACCTTGGCCGACTGCAGCCTGAGGGGCAGGCGAGAGGAGCAACTCTTATTCACCCCCACTCAAGCACCTTGGTATCCTTTCCTCTCGTTCACTCACCGACTGCGACTCATTGCCCGACTGCAGCCTGAGGGGCACGCAGAGGAGCCTCAACACCCCCACCCAAGCAACCGCTTCCCTTCTCTCACTCACCGGGCGCGTTGTTCCTCTGAGCTGCACCAGCTCCACCACCTTGCCCGACTGCAACCGGAGAGGCAGGCGGGAGAGCGTCTCGTCACGTGACACGCGTCCCATCTGCTCCTCCTCACGCCGCTGCTCCCATAGGTACAGCCCCACCATCGCCGCCCCGCCTGGAGGTGAAGGGGGGTGAAGGGGGGAGACGGCAGGCAGAAGATCATCAGGGAAAGTAGGGAGAGAAGTTAACGCAGATAAGCCAGCATGGAAAAAGCTCCATGAAAACACTCAGCTCACTCCCATCCTCTCTGCCCTCTTCCTTCATCTGCAAGACTGCAACCTCCATTATCACTCTTCCACACACCCCATTCTCAACGAATCTGCACCTCGCTGCACCGCTCTTCATCGCACATCACCCTCACCTCCCAGATCAATGGCCAGGTTGCCACCAGTGGTGAGCAGATCCGGGGCATCCACCCCTCCTTGGACGGCCAGGATGAACCGCGGGATGGTGATGACGGTGGCGATGCCAGCAGCCATGCCCAGCGCCACGTACAGGAACCTCCTCACGCCTCTGAACGGCGCCTGCACCTCTGCTATCAACTTCAAGTCCCGCCGAAACTTGCCGCCCACTTCCTCGCCGCCCTTCCTTGCCTGGAACGGGAGACGGGGAAGGGGAGCAGGAAGGAAGGCAGAGTGTGCAATGTGCTGCACATCAGCTCTCCTCCTCCAAACCTTCTCCCACCTGCAGTCCAGATCTATCTCAGTCCAGTGCTCTTTCAGTCCAGTTGTCGCTTCTTCTCCCCTTTCTCCTTCCCTCCCCCTCCATGGTTCATGCAGGCATCAACAGACCCTAATATGGCTATGCTCCCGGCCTTACACTCTCTCTCCAATTTCCCTGTGCGCCCTACAGTGCCACCATATCTCACCTCCTCTCCAATTTCCCTGTGGCCCTCACCTCCTCTTGAAGAGCTCTAAATTCAGGCATGGCGCGGAACGCCGCCATGTCCGGGTCGCTGAGAATCACGCTGAACTGCAGCCCGTACCGCAGAGCGTCGCGCAGCGCCTCCTGCGCCTGCGCGCCCTCCTCCCTGCACGCGCCACGTCAACCGAGCGACGTCAGATCACGGTATGCGACTGAATTGCCTGGAAAACACGCACTGGAATTCCAATATTCTGGCCGTGTGCGAAATCCCAGTGTAACTAGCTCCCAGCGTTCTATTCACTTGCGGTTTTTACGTTATATGACCCTCGCGCTACCTGAAAGCATGGCAGCACGCCTTATTGTAGAGCGCCGCCTGCGCCTCTTCCTCAGACGGTTTCATCTCGAGAGCCATCTCGAACCGCCTCAGCGCGTCGCGAACCCGCCCTTTCTTGTACAGCTCCAGCCCCTGATTCACCGCCTGCTCCGCGCTTCGCGGGACCACCATATCCGGGGCCGTCCCCGCCGCAACCGGCGCTGCTCCATCTCCCCCGTTGCTGGCTTTCGCCCTGACGCTCGGAACCACACCTCGTTTTTTACTGTGAATACCTTGTTTATCATGGCTGCCGGGAAGCCTTAGCCACGCGTGCTTTTGCAGTGCACGGGACGATCTGCGAGTGGGTAGCAGAGCGGGAATGTGGGAGCTGCCGTACGATGTGGTGCTCTGGTAGGCGCTCAGTTGTGCACTGACCGTCTGTGGCAAGTGGCTGACGTGGCAGATGGATGCCATGTCAGTCAGGCGCGACAGTTTCTCAACCTGTGTGGAAGAAACCGACCTCACAGCTGATGATTATCAACGAAAGCCGGTAAGACGGAAGTTAGCCAGTCGGAGGCTAGCTTGCAATGCTTAGAGAACTGGGATTTGGAGAAGGGGGAACATGTTCTAGAAGAGTGTCAAATGGTTGAAATGAACTGAAACCTAGGTGGGGCGAAATTGTTGACCTTGGGAATTCCAGCCGAAGCCACGAGGGATGAACGGCCACGATGCGATTGTTCCGGATTGTGGAACCAGCCTTATCCGAAAGATATGAATTGCGAAAACTACCCTCTGTTATTGAACGAGGCCAAATGAAGATATTCTAACCTAAACGATCCTGATACCAATAAATACAAAAAAATCATGAGACCACCAAATCTTTCTTGATTCTCAAAACTCTTAAACCTGGATCCAACACCACATACATAAACCTGGATCATAACATCTCATTGTTATCTCCGGCTAGGCTTCTCCAACACGCAATTTAGGTACACATGCTCACCCTCCCTCTCAGCTGTATCAGTTTTCGGCGTCAGGTTCCAATACTTTTTACCATACCCAAACTGCTCAATCACCCCAATGTACAGCGGCATCTCCCACACCGGCGCATAGAACAGCTCAAACCACCAGATCCCACCAGGCCTTAGAATCCGGTCCCACTCGAACAGAAGCTCCTCAAATTCTGGGATGGAGAAATACTTGATACTGTTCACCGTGTGAATCAAATCCAGCGTGTTGTCAAAGAACGGCTGGCGGGCCTTGTGCGGCACGTGCAGCGGCACCAGACCCCTCTGCGCAATAGTCTCCATATAAGGCAACCCCATTTCCACTTCTTGCACCGTCTCCGTGTTCATAGCCGTGGTCAATATTGTCACATTGTACAGCGCAAGCGCCGCTGCAAAGCTGCCTGTACCCCCACCGGCATCCAAGCCAATCCTGATCGACCCTGGCGGCTTCAGCTTCATCACCTCTGCAAGAGTCACCGCCCCGCGATAGTTATTCTTCCACCGCTTCGCCTCCAGTGTGAGGTTAAAGCAGTCGCGGCAATCCCCAAGCAGCCGCGAGTTAATGCATCCGTATGACTTGCAGCGGTGCAGGTCCCACCGCACGTTCGCATCCAGCAGGGCACGCGGGTCGAACACAGACTGGGGGAAGGGGATGCTCGGCTCCTGGTAGTCCGGGGGCGCCGCGGCAAAGCAGCGGCGGCGCGGCAGGCATAAGCAGTTGCGGACAAAGATGAGGTGCTGGACGAAGTACCAGTCATCTGGACAGGGTTTCTTCGGGGAGTAGTTCAGGTATTTCAGGAGCTCCTCATCTGTCGCACTGCATGACGTGGCACGAATCCGGGTGGCTGAAAGCTGCCCGCTGCTGTACCCGCCACCAATGGCGCTCTCCCGCGCTTGCTCAGCTGCCCGGCCGCACTCTTCGATTGCTTTCCGGGCAGCCTGAAGAGCATCATCACTAGAGACGGTATCATTACAATCTGTGGTGTTCCTTGAGTAATGCGCCACTGCAGCTGCCAGCCTCTCTCTCTCCTGCTGCAGCCTCTCGTTCAGAATCTGCTGCTGCTCGCACTGAGTCTGCAGCGCTGCCAGCATCTCACTCTCACTCATTGCAACCACCACAGCAGGCCCAGCACCACCAGACCCGGTCACTGCACCGGTCGTTGCCGCATCACCAGTTGTTGCAGCAGCACTGTTTGTCCCGGCCTCCCCTCCCATCCCTGCCTCTCCACCAGCCTGCCCTAGACTCTCTCTGCACTCTTGCAAAGATGCCTCGCATTTCGCCAACTCAGCTGCAGCGGCAGCGTCGGAAACAGAGCCACTGAGTTCGCCTCCTCCCCCCCCTCCTCCCCTGGTGTTGTTGCTGACGTCAGCGAAGGTTTTGAGATCCTCGGCTTTGATTGGCCCCGAGTGATTCGCTTTAAGCCGCGCAATTTCGTCCATAAGCGTGCGCACCTCGTCGCGAAAGAGCTGGCGCTTCGCGGTGCGCAGCTGCTGCTTCTCGATCTCCGCGCGCAGCTTCCCCAGCACCTCCTCCGCGCTCTCCCCCGGCCGCGGCTGCGCTGCCTGCTGCTGGTACCGCGGGAGCAACAGGGACGCCGCTGAGTGCGCTGCGACGTGCGCGTCGGTGGCGGTGTAACGGAAATTGTAACCAATCTCCACGGAGAGGAAGGCGAAGCAAGCGAAGAGCGCGAAGATGAGGAGCGAGCGAAGGTTCGTATGCGACACGAGGCTTGACAGTGCCGACGCCATGATAAGCTGAAATGTCGCGACAAGCAGATGCCTTTATACCAGGAACTTCGAGATCATCGTGTGACGCTCAAAGAATTACTCATGCTCGTCCTAACAAGCAAAAAGTTAGCATGGCAAGTGGAGCTGTTAGGTGCGCGGGGAAGGTGAGTTCTGTCTGACCTAAATTGACAAGCCACCACAAACACAAGTGGAGTATCGCACACACGCAGGTGGATGTTGGAGCAACAAAAACAGGTGAGATAATCCCACTGAGTAGTATGTGGCATTGCTGCAGCCTTTCAGGGGACGTCGCGCAGGGCGCAGCATTGCTTGCCTGAACCTGAGTGGTCTCGGGTGCGGACTTCAAATCCGTAGCGGCTTGACGGCCGAGCTGTCCGATTCAGCCTGGCGAGCGATAAAAGTCATGAACTCTTTAGAATACTTTTCAATTTGGTTGTATACTCGAACAAATTGCATACACGACGTTCTCGATGCTTCGCTTTACTGTCCATGATACAGTCAGGCTTCGGGTTTTGCAGGACGTGCGTGAGTCTACCAGACCAACTCACGCCCTAATTCCTCGTGCGTAATTCCTTTTCCCTCTCCTCTACATCCACCTCAGCTATAGGAGGCACCTTCACGTTCTGGGTTTCAGCCTACATCCTGATTTGTTCGGGTCGTGACGCTGGTGCTAGTGAACGTGTTACTGCGTTCGTTTCTTAACTTCCCATATTAAGTGACTCGTCGCACCGCAGCCATGGGCGACCGCACGGTCCACGTCGGCAATCTCGAGACGTTCGTGAACGAGAGCACGCTCTACCTGCTCTTTTCGCAGTTCGGCACTGTCACCAACGTTCGCCTCGCTGGGTAAGGCACGGTGCTTTTTTATTTGCTTTGCGTTTCCCGGCGCTTACAGCAGTCAGGCATCAGATCTACAGACTGGATCTGCTACCTTGGTTTATGAGTATTCTACCCAGGGCTCGTTGCACGTGTCTGTTGCCCTGATTTTTTCTTGCTCGTTTTTCCTCAAAGTCTTACAAGTATTAAGTACTTTTATTCTTTCTGACTTTTCGCAGTGACCCTAAGATGCAAACGCGGTACGCGTTTGTAGAGTTCAACGATTCCGTTATGGCGCATGCAGCGTGCTTGCTCGACGGTCTGCAGGTCGGCTCGCGCAATCTCCGCGTCTCGCTCTCCAAGCCATACGCCGGGGTACGCATTGCGCTTCTCTTCTGTTCGTCTCCTGGTCGTTCCGTTCGGTCTCGCGTTCATCGTGAACCCTGCGTACTCTCAATCGCAGGATGAAGAATGACAGTCAGCAATGCTAGTTAGGGTTTCGTAGTGTTCGCACTCAAGCCCAGGTCTTATGGCCAAACCTTGTTTCTGTTTCAAGATCGGTCTTTGCTTCCGTTGTTCGTGTGCCTGGGGATGACAGAAAGGAGCGGCGTCAGCAGCGGTACAGAACCCCTTAGCTGCGCTGATGGGCGGCGCGGGACTGGCAGCGACGCCCGCCGTGACCGCAGCCCCTCGGAAGCGGTCCACCGTGGAGGATCAGGAGCGCATTTCGCGGACCATCCACGTCCGCAATGTCGACATCCAGGTCAGCTGGAGTTACAACCATCATTTCAATCCGAAATTTTTCTGGCGCGTATTTGTGCAACGTAGCCTGGTGGATGTTCCTATTTCTCGTCGTTTTTTTTTTTTTTTTTTAAAGCCTTTTACAACATCAGCATGTATCTTCTTCTCACCGTTTCCCCTCCCCGACGTCGTGTTCCGCTCTCAGATCACGGAGGCGATGCTGGTGGAGTATTTCGGCGTGTGCGGGACCGTGACGGCCGCGCGCACGGCGGGCACGAACAACCCGCGCACGGCGTGGATCGAGTTCGCCGCGCAGCAGTCCGCGCTCGCCGCGCTCTCGCTGGACGGCCAAGTCCTCGCCGGGCAGACCTTGAGGTAGTTTCGGGCAGACCGTAATGCTATTTCGAGCGCACGTTGACGCTAGAGTAGTCGCTTTAGCCTGCAGTCACACAAGCATGGCGGTTTAACTTGTGTTGCCCTGCCCCGCTGCACATCACCCCTCAACCCTCCCACCCTGTGTGTCTCTCCCTTCCGCCTCTCTCTTTCCGCGTGCTAACAGAATCTCCCCCAGCAAGTCCGCCATTCAGACCAACGCGCTCTCGCAGCGCAACGCGCCGGCGCCGGCGCTGCCGACCATGACGCCCGCCATGATGATGGCCGCCGTCGCCGCGCCGCAGAACATCGTCAAAGTGCAGGGCATCCCCGCTAAGGTGTGCTTCGCTGTCCCGCTTACCAGCTACATTCTGCGGTTACTGTTCATTGCTTATATTCGCACGTTTCTTCTCTCGGCGCATCTCCCTTCCCCCTCCACGCATCTCCCCCCTCCGCGCATCTCCCCCCTCCGCGCATCTACCCCGTCCGCGCATCTCCCCTCTCCGAGCATCACCCCCCTCCGAGCATCGCCCCCCTCCGAGCATCGCCCCCCTCCCCGCACTTCTCCGCTCCGCGCCTCACCTGCTCTCTACTCCCGCCCCTTGCGTCCCGACGCCCATCTTTCCCGCCCGACCCTCCCTCCCGCCCTCCCTCCCGCCCTACCCTCCCACCCTACCCTCTCGCCCTGCCCTTCTCGCCCCTCCCGAAGCCCACCCACCCCGTGGTTCCCCCGTTGCGTGTGCGTGCTGCCGTGTGCCGCCCAGGCATCGGAAGCGGACGTGCGCACTCTCGTGGAGGCGCGCTGCGGCCACGTGCGCTCGCTGATCATCGTGCCCGTGCCAGGCCCGCCGCCTGAGGAGCCGGGCAAGAAGGGCGAGAAGGGCGAGGAGGGGGCCGAGGGCGAAGAGGGCTACAAGGGCCCGACGAAAATGGCGACGGTGGAGGTGGAGGATGCAGAGGCGGTGGCGAAGGCGCTGGAGCTAAACGGCACCAAGTTCATGGGCGCTACCATCTCGTACGTCCTGTCCTGCTGCCCCTCCGCCCCCCGGACTTGCCGTTTTGGCTTTGTTGCTGCTGTGCTGTTTGTTACCCTTTCCCTCTTCCCCCCTTTATCTCCCATTCTCCCCTCCCCTCCCCTCCCTTCCCCTTTTCTCTCCTTCAACCCTTGTGCCCTTTCCCCCTTACCCTCCTCTCCTCTTTTTGCCCTGCTCGTCCCTCCCGCCCTCCTCCTTCCCTGCCCTTTTCCGCCATCCGCACTTGTATCCCGTATTTCATCCTCCCTTGCAGCGTTGTACTCGCCATGGCACCAGCCTCTTCATTCTTCCTTGCAGCAGATTCATAACCCAATTTTTTCCTGCATCCAAGTCCCGTACCCTCCCCTTGATTCTTAACTCACCCCCTTTTCTTGGCTCTTGCGCTGCTGTGCTGCTTCCGCTGCCTCTGCTCCAACACCTGCTGCCATCCTGCCGGCTTGCATTGCCGCCGCCACTGCCGCCTCTGCTGCTGCTGCCTGCTGCTGCGGCTACTGGTGTGGGCGGCTGCTGCTGCTACCGCTGGTGGTGCTGCTGCTACCGCTGGTGGTGCTGCTGGGTGGTGTGCTGGTGAGCAGGGTTGAGAAGGTTGAACCCCTCCCGCCCGCCCCCGTGCCCGCCCCTTCGTCCATCCCTCCTGCAGCCTTCGCCATTCCCGGCCTCGACCCCTCTCTCCTCGACCCCTCCCTTCTCTCCGATCCCACCTTCCTAGCCGCTGCCACTGCGGCAGGTCTCCCTACCACCGCCCTGCCTCCCCCGCCCCCTTTACCTCCCAACACGCAACCCACCATCGTGGCATCTGAGACTGGCACTGATGGCACCGCCACAGGCACAGACGCCACAGCAGCAGCCGCGGCATCGGCAGACGACGACCGGAAAGACTCTCACGGTGGGTTGCCGCATCCCCATTCCCATGGCTTGGCTTGCCCGTGTCTGCATGGCAGACAGTTGTGTTGTAGTCACTTCATCTTGACTTGTGATGTGTGGTACATTGGCTATATGGGTTGTTAATCTACCTCTTCATGTGTGGTGTGGTGTGGTATGGTGTGGTGATGCAGGGTCGCACAAGCGCTCGGCAGATGACACTGAGGGGGGAGAGAAGCGCGCACGCCATGACTGACAGGCCATGCAAACACCAATTGGGTTCACTTGTTGGCCTCGAAACCGAACCTTTCTTTGCCAACACACCGTGGCTAGTACTTTCTAGGCTATTTCTGCCATATATAGTCTACACCCTGGGTTAGGTGGCAACCACCTACAGATTAGCTTCCAATGGTGGTCTGGTTCTAGCATTTCAGAACTCCTTGGGTTGGGTGTAGTGTGGAATTAAGCTTGTGGGATTCAAATCTCACACATCAGGTGTGGAAATTGATGTGAAGGTTCAACTGTTTAACCCAATTCAGAAACTGCGTTAGGTGCCATAATTATGTCTTAGCAGTGTCATGGCTCTGTCTTGCATACCCAATCTTGGGTGCTACAATGGGCAGGCTGCTGGTGGCATAACATGACTGGCTAAAAAATGGTTTTGGCAAACCCAAGCTCACACAATGGTGGAGGTTAGAACGCAGAAGATTTGCCATTAGAAGAGCACCTAACACACCAGCAGGGATCTTGCCTCCAAAGGCCTCCAATCACCTCACTTCTGTCTCAACCACGAATCATCCCCTCCAGCAGCAAACTCTGGCGCTTTAGGTGGCGGATTAGCAGCGAACACATCATGCTTCTCCCCTCCACTCACCCCGCCACTGCTGCTGCTGCTGCTTCCACCTTGAGCGCCCTTGTCCCCGCCTGCGCCCCCCCAAGAGAACCACCCTCCCCAGCCTGACGAAGTGCCACCTTCTGACGCTACCGGACCGGTCTGTACCGCCGCCGAGCCAGATCCAGAGCTGAGTTCTACGTTCGGCAACGTCACAGCGCCACCAGCGCCGGGGCTGACTAGCTCAGGTTGGGTAGACAGGGTAGGGGCGGCGGCAGCGGGAAGAGCGGCGGGTTGGACAACCACCGGCATGCTCATGGGCTGCTCGATCTGCGCGGGGGAAGGCTCGTCGCGCGGGGGAGGCGGAAGCGCGGAAGTCATGCGGTTGAGCATGATCCCCGCGCCCTCGATCAGCCCCAGCAGCACTCCGCCGAACACGGCGGACTGCAGCGCGGATCGCGGCCCCGCGCGCAACTGGAGGAAGCCGCCGGTGAGGAAACCCGCGGCGATGGAGTTCCAGGGGTCCTCCTTTTGGCGGAGATACACTAGCGAGCAGTCGAACGTTGAGAACAGCCCGCCCCACACTGCGAAGCTTCCGCCGATGCGCGGCGCGTTGATCCGCACGGCCTGCGTTCCGCCGATGAGGCGCTCCCCGCGCGGAGAGTTCTTCGCTCCGCGGATGAAATGCCACGCGGCGCCGCCCACCGCGCCCATGCTGAACGCGCCGCCTACGTCATCGAGGATGCGATCCGGGCACGGCTCGCGGCCGTACTCCCCCGCCATGTGCTTCTAACGAGCTGTGTGAATACCGCTTACAGAAAGGCACGCGAGGACGTCGCGATCGGATGAGTAAACGCCAAGCGGCAGATTCGGAGTTTGCGACTGGTTCTCCGCGGTTTCTCGTTACGATCGAGGCGGATCTGAAGAAGGGGGAGGGTACGCGCGATAAGCGATGGCTCGTAATGAAGTGACGGCACGGGGCGGGATAAAGGCGGGGAGATGGAGATGTAGGTGGAAGAACGATCGTGAAACAGAGGCGGCTGTGGAAAAAACTACCTGTCTTCGCAGTGAAGGCCGGGGGGACGTGTCGGGTGTGTTAGATGCTAGCTGTAAATTCTCGTCTAGAGGTTTGTGAGGTTGGGGTGGGGGCAAGGAATGGAGCGGAGGTAGGGGGAAGAAGGCACGAGAGCTGGCAGGCACACTGGAAACCGAGTTTGCCTATATCGGTTTCAGCTTCACTGGTCTGGTTGGTTGCCGTGAACTTGGAGCGGATGTGGCGTGTGCGCCGATTCCCGCTGTATCGCGGACACCACGTCAGTCAAGCATCTCATAAGAAACGTGAGAAAAATACACCAACTAAGAAGACGGCTTGCATCAATTAACAGCTCAATTGAAGTCATAGGAATATCTTATCATACGTTATCAGTCATTCGCCATTCGTGACTCGGCGAACACGCCGAATGACGAATGACGAATGAAAATGACGAACAGCGAATGGCGAATGACGATTGACTAATAACGAATGACGAATGACGAAATAACGAATAGCAATGACGAATGACGAATGGCAATGCGAATCGCGAATGATGAATACGAATGACGAATAACGAATGGCGAATACCGAATGGCGAATGGCAATGACGAATTGCAAGAACGTATGACAAATGGCAATGACGAATCACAATGATCCCACATGTGCAGAAAGTGCAGCGGCCACTATTCATTCGCGAGCATAGATGACCGATGATGCTCGCAACCCTCCCACGCCCTTGCTGGCTTGGTAATAGGCCCAGACAAGTATAGCCACGTGACCCGGCGGAAGAATAACGCGATGGAAAGCGGGAGAATGGGGCGGGGTGATGGAAAGCGGGAGAATGGGGCGGGGTTATGGAAAGAGGGAGAATGGGGCGGGGTGATGGAAAGAGGGAGAATGTGGCGGGGTGATGGAAAGAGGGAGAATGGGGCGGGATGATGGAAAGAGGGAGAATAGGGCGGGGTGATGGAAAGAGGGAGAATGGGGCGGGTGATGGAAAGCGGGAGAATGGGGCCGGGTGATGGAAAGCGGGAGAATGGGGCGGGGTGATGGAAAGAGGGAGAACGGGGCAGGGCTTATGGAAAGAGGTAGAATGGGACGCGATGATGGAAAGCGGGAGAATGGGGTGGGATGATGGAAAGCGGGAGAATTGGGCGGGTGATGGAAAGCGGGAGAATGGCGGAGGGTGATGGAAAGAGGGAGAATGGGGCGGGGTGAAAGAGAGCCGGAGAATGGGGCGGGGTGATGGAAAGCGGGAGAATGGGGCGGGGTGATTGAAAGCGGAAGAATCGGGCAAGTTGATGGAAAGCAAGAGAATGGGGCGGGCTGCTGGAAAGCGGGAGAATGGGGCGGGGTGCTAGAAAGCGGGAGAATGGGGCGGGTTGATGGAAAGCGCGAGAATGGGGCGGGGTGATGGAAAGCGGGAGAATTAGGCGGGGTTATGGAAAGAGGGAGAAGGGGGCGGGGTGATGGAAAGAGGGAGAATGGGGCAGGGTGATGGAAAGAGGGAGAATGGGGCGGGGTGATGGAAAGCAGGAGAATGGGGCGGGGTGATGGAAAGCGGAAGAATCAGGCGGGGTGCTGGAAAGCGGGAGAATGGGGCGGGTTGATGGAAAGTGGGAGATTGGAACGAGGTGATAGAAAGAGAGAGAATGGGGCGTGGTGATGAAAAGCGGGAGAATGCGGCGAGGTGCTGGAAATCGGGGGAAAGGGGCGGGGTGATGGAAAGCGCGAGAATGGGGCGGGGTGCTGGAAAGCGGGAGAATGGGGCGATGTGATGGAAAGCGGGAGAATGGGGCGAGGTTATGGAAAGAGGGAGAATTGGGCGGGGTGATGGAAAGAGGGAGAATGGGGCGGGGTGATGGAAAGAGGGAGAATAGGGCAGGGTGATGGAAAGCGGGAGAATGTGGCGGGGTGATGGAAAGAGGGACAATGGGGCGGGGTGATGGAAAGAGGGAGAATGGGGCGGGGTGATGGAAAGAGGGAGAATGGGGCGGGGTGAAGGAAAGCGGGAGAACGGGGCGAGGTGATAGAAAGAGGGAGAATGGGGCAGGTGATGGAAAGCGAGAGAATGGGGCGGGGTTATGGAAAGAAGGAGAATGGGGCGGTGTGATGGAAAGGGGGAGAATGTGGCGGGGTGATGGAAAGAGAGAGAATGGGGCGGGGTGGTGGAAAGAGGGAGAATGGGGCGGGGTGATGGAAAGAGGGAGAATGGGGCGGGGTGATGGAAAGCGGGAGAATGGGGCGGGGTGATAGAAAGCGGGAGAAAGGGGCGGGGTGATGGAAAACGGGAGAATGGGGCGGGGTGATGGAAAGCGGGAGAATGGGGCGGGCAGCTGGAAAGCGGGAGAATGGGGCGGGGAGATGGAAAGCGGGAGAATGGGGCGGGGTGATGGAAAGCGGGAGAATGGGGCGGGGTTATGGAAAGAGGGAGAATGGGGCGGGGTGATGTAAAGAGGGAAAATGGGGTAGGGTGATGGAAAGAGGGAGAATGGGGCGGGGTGATGGAAAGCGGAAGAATGGGGCGGGGTGTAGAAAGAGGGAAAATGGGGCGGGGTGATGGAAAGAGGGAGAATGGGGCGGGGTGATGGAAAGCGGGAGAATGGGGCGGGGTGATAGAAAGAGGGAGAATGGGGCGAGGTGATGAAAAGCGGGAGAATGGGGCGGGATGATGGAAAGCGGGAGAATGGGGCGGGGTGAGGGAAAGAGGGAGAATGGGGCGGGGTGATGGAAAGCGGGAGAATGTGGCGGGGTGATGGAAAGAGGGAGAATGGGGCGGGGTGATGGAAAGAGGGAGAATGGGGCGGGGTGAAGGAAAGCGGGAGAATGGGGCGGCGTGATGGAAAGAGGGAGAATGGGGCGGGTGATGGAAAGCGAGAGAATGGGGCAGGGTGATGGAAAGAGGAAGAATGGGGCAGGGTGCTGGAAAGCGGGAGAATGGGGCGGGGTGATGGAAAGCGGGAGAATGGGGCGGGGTGCTGGAAAGCGGGAGAATGGGGCGAGGTGATGGAAAGCGGGAGAATCGGGCGGGGTGATGGAATGCTGGAGAATGGGGCGGGGTGACGGAAAGCGGGAGAATGGGGCGGGGTTATGGAAATTGGGAGAATGGGGCGGGGTGATGGAAAGAGGGAGAATGGGGCGGGGTGATGGAAAGCGGGAAAATGGGGAGGGGTGATGGAAAGCGGGAGAATGGGGCGGGGTGATCGAAAGAGGGAGAATGGGGCGGGGTGATGGAAAGAGGGAGAATGAGCCGGGGTGATGGAAAGCGGGATAATGGGGCGGGGTGATGGAAAGCGGGATAATGGGGCAGGGTGATGGAAAGCGGGAGAATGGGGTAGGGTGATGGAAAGAGGGAGAATAAGGCGGGGTGATAGAAAGCGGGAGAATGGGGCGGGGTGATGGAAAGCAGGAGAATGGGGAGGGGTGATGGAAAGGGGGAGATTGGGCGCGGTGATGGAAAGCGGGAGAATGGGGCGGGGTGCTGGAAAGCGGGAGAATGGGGCGGGGTGATGGAAAAAAAACAGGTCAGCCCCGCAAACCGTAATGGGGTGATGGAAAATAAACAACCTGTTTCTCACATACACAATTCGCCAGGTGTCTAGGGTTGATCCGTTCCCAAACCGCATCCAATATGAGAAACAGATTGTTTATTTTCCATCACCCCGCCCCATTCTCCCGCTTTCCATCACTCCGCCCAATTCTCCCGCTTTCCATCACCCCGCCCCATTCTCCCGCTTTCCATCATTCCGCCCAATTCTCCCGCTTTCCATCACCCCGCCCCATTCTCCCGCTTTCCATCACCCCGCCCCATTCTCCCGCTTTCCATCACCCCGCCCCTTTCTCCCGCTTTCCATCACCCCGCCCCACTCTCCCGCTTTCCATCACCCCGCCCCACTCTCCCGCTTTCCATCACCCCGCCCCACTCTCCCACTTTCTATCACCCCGCCCCATTCTCCCGCTTTCCATCACTCCGCCCAATTCTCCCGCTTTCCATCACCCCGCCCCATTCTCCCGCTTTCCATCATTCCGCCCAATTCTCCCGCTTTCCATCACCCCGCCCCATTCTCCCGCTTTCCATCACCCCGCCCCATTCTCCCGCTTTCCATCACCCCGCCCCTTTCTCCCGCTTTCCATCACCCCGCCCCACTCTCCCGCTTTCCATCACCCCGCCCCACTCTCCCGCTTTCCATCACCCCGCCCCACTCTCCCACTTTCTATCACCCCGCCCCATTCTCCCCTTTTCCATCACCCTGCTCCATTCTCCCGCTTTCCAACACCCCGCCCCATTCCCCCGCTTTCCATCACCGCGCCCCATTCTCCCGCTTTCCATCACCCCGCCCCATTCTCCCGCTTTCCATCACCCCGCCCCATTCTCCCGCTTTCCATCACCCCGCCCCATTCTCCCGCTTTCCATCACCCCGCCCCATTCTCCCTCCTTCCATCACCCAGCCCCATTCTCCCTCCTTCCATCACCCCGCCCCATTCTCCCGCTTTCCATCACCCCGCCCCATTCTCCCACTTTCCATCACCCCGCCCCATTCTCCCGCTTTCCATCACCCCGCCCCATTCTCCCACTTTCCATCACCCCGCCCCATTCTCCCACTTTCCATCACCCCGCCCCTTTCTCCCGCTTTCCATCACTCCGCCCAACTCTCCCGCTTTCCATCACCCCGCCCCATTCTCCCGCTTTCCATCACCCCGCCCCATTCTCCCACTTTCCATCACCCCGCCCCATTCTCCCGCTTTCCATCACCCCGCCCCATTCTCCCACTTTCCATCACCCCGCCCCATTCTCCCACTTTCCATCACCCCGCCCCATTCTCCCGCTTTCCCTCACCCCGCCCCATTCTCCCACTTTCCATCACCCCGCCCCATTCTCCCGCTTTCCATCACCCTGACCCATTCTCCCGTTTTCCATCACCCCGCCCCATTCCCCCGCTTTCCATCACCCGCCCCATTCTCCCGCTTTCCATCATCCCGCACAATTCTCCCGCTTTCCATCACCCCGCCCCATTCTACCTCCTTCCATCACCCCGCCCCATTCTCCCGCTTTTCATCACCCCGCCCCATTCTCCCGCTTTCCATCAGCCCGCCCCATTCTCCCGCTTTCCATCACCCCGCCCCGTTCTCCCGCTTTCCATCACCCCGCCCCGTTCTTCCTCTTTCCATCACCCCGCCTTATTCTCCCTCTTTCCATCACCCCGCCCCATTCTCCCTCTTTCCATCACCCCGACCCATTCTCCCGCTTTCCATCACCCCGCCCCATTCTCCCTCTTTCCATCACCCCGCCATATTCTCCCTCTTTCCATCACCCCGCCCCATTCTCCCTCTTTCCATCACCCCGCCCCATTCTCCCGCTTTCCATCACCCCGCCCCATTCTCCCTCTTTCCATCACCCCGCCCCATTCTTCCGCTTTCCATCACCCCGCCCCATTCTCCCGCTTTCCATCACCCCGCCCCATTTTCCCACTTTCCATTACCCCGCCCCATTCTCCCTCTTTCCATCACCCCGCCCCATTCTCCCGCTTTCCATCACCCCGCCCCATCCTCCCACTTTCCATCGCCCCGCCCCATTCTCCCTCCTTCCATCACCCCGCCCCATTCTCCCGTTTTCCATCACCCCGCCCCATTCACACGCTTTCCATCACCCCGCTCCATTCTCCCGCTTTCCATCACCCCGCCCCATTCTCTCGCTTTCCATCACCCCGCCCCACTCTCCCACTTTCCATCACCTCGCCCCATTCTCCCGCTTTCCATCACCCAGCCCCATTCTCACGCTTTCCATCAAGCGCTGCACTTCTTGCACGTGAGCGGCTCCTTCCGCATTTTGGGGGTGGAAGAGCTCGTTCGGAGTGTTTTTCTTCCGCCGGGTCACGTGGCTGCGCTTGTCTGGTCCTATTACGAAGCTAGCAATGGCGTGGGAGGGTTGCAAGCATCATCGGATATTGACGCTCGCAAAAGAAGAGCGCCCGCTGCACTTCCTGCACATGTGCGGCTCCTTCCGCGTTTTGGGGGTGGAAGTGCTCGTTCCGAACATTTTGCTTCCGCCGGGTCACGAGGCTGCGCTTGTCTGGTCCTATTACCAAGCCAGCAAGGGCGTGGGGGGGTCGCAAGCAGCATCGTTCATTGGCGCTCGCAAATGAAGAGCGCCCGCTGCACTTCCTGCACGTGTGCACCTCATTCCGCGTTTTGGGGGTGGAAGCGCTCGTTCCGAGCGTTTTTCTTCCACCGGGTCACGTGGTTGCGCTTGTCCGGTCCTATTACCAAGCCAGCAAAGGCGTGGGAGGGTTGCAAGCATCATCGGTCATTGGCGCATGCAAATTAACAGCGCCCGCTGCACTTCCTGCATGTGCGGCTCCTTCCGCGTTTTGGGGGTGGAAGCGTTCGTTCCGAGCGTTTTTCTTCCGCCGGGTTCCGTGGCTGTGCTTGTTTGGGCCTATTACGAAGCCAGCAAGGGCGAGGGAGGGTCGCAAGCAGCATCGTTCATCGACGCTCGCGAATGAAGAGCGCCCGCTGTACTTCCTGCACGTGTGCGGCTCATTCCGCGTTTTGGGGGTGGAAGCGCTCGTTCTCAGCGTTTTTCTTCTGCCGGGTCACGTGGTTGCACTTGTTTGGTCCTATTACTAAGCCAACAAGGGCCTGGGAGGGTTGCAAGCATCATCGGACATCGGCGCTCGCAAATGAAGAGCGTCCGCTGCACTTTCTGCACGTGTGCAGCTCCTTCCGCATTTTAGGGGTGGAAGCGCTCGTTCCGAGCGTTTTGCTTCCGCCGGGTTACATGGCTGCACTTGTCTGGTCCTATTACCAAGCCAGCAAGGGCGTGGGAGGGTTGCAAGCATCATCGGTTATTGGCGCTCGCAAATGAACAGCGCCCGCTGCACTTCCTGCATATGTGTGGCTCCTTCCGCGTTTTGGGGGTGGAAGCACTCGTTCCGAGCGTTTTTCTTCCGCCGGGTCATGTGGTTGTGCTTCTCTAGTCCTATTACCAAGCCGGAAAGGGCGAGGGAGGGTTGCAAGCAGCATCGTTCATCGACGCTCGCGAATGAAGAGCGCCCGCTGCACTTCCTGCACGTGTGCGGCTCATTCCGCGTTTTGGGGGTGGAAGCGCTAGTTCCGAGTCATGTGGTTGCACTTGTCTGGTCCTATTACCAAGCCAGCATTGGCGTGGGAGGGTCGCAAGCAGCATCGGTCATCGGCAATCGCGAATGAAGAGCCCCCGCTGCACTTCTTTCACGTGTCCGGCTCCTTCCACATTTTGGGGGTGGAAGCGCTCGTTCCGAGCAGTTTTCTTCCGCCGGGTGACGTGGCTGCGCTTGTCTTGTCCTATTACCAAGCCACCAAGGGCCTGGGAGGGTTGCAAGCATCATCGGTCATCGGCGCTCACGAATGAAGAGTGCCCGCTGCACTTCCTGCACGTGTGCGGATCCTTCCGCATTTTGGGGGTGGAAGCGCTCGTTCCGAGCGTTTTTATTCCGCCGGGTCACGTGGCTGCGCTTGTCTTGTCCTATTACAAAGCCAGGGTCACGTGACTGCGCTTGTTTGGTCCTATTACCAAGCGAGGAAGGGCCTGGGAGGGTTGCAAGCATCATCAGTCATCGGTGCTCGCGAATGAAGAGCGCCCGCTGCACTTCTTGCACATGCGTGGATCGTTCCGCGTTTTGGGGGTGGAAGCGCTCATTCCGAGCGTTTTTCTTCCACCGGATCACGTGGCTGCGCTTGTCTGGTCCTATTTACCAAGCCAGCCAGGGCGTGGGAGGGTTGGAAGCATCTTCGGTCATCGTTGCTCACGAATAAAGAGCGTCTGCTGCACTTCTTGCACGTGTGCGGCTCCTTCCGCATTTTGGGGCTGGAAGCGCTCGTTCTGAGCGTTTTTCTTCCGCCAGGTCACGTGGCTGCGGTTGTCTGGTCCTATTACCAAACCAGCAAGGGCTTGGGAGGGTTGGAAGCATCATCGGTCATCGGCGCTCGCGAATGAAGAGCGCCCGCTGTACTTCCTGCACATGTTCGGGCATTTTGGGGGTGGAAGCGCTCTTTCTGAGCGTTTTTCTTCCGTCGGGTCAGGTGGCTGTGCTTGTCAAGTCCTTTTACCAAGCCAAGAAGGGCCTGGGAGGGTCGCAAGCATCATCGGTGATCGGCACTCGCGAATGAAAAGCGTCCGCTGCACTTCTTGCACATGTGCGGCTCCTTCCGCCTTTTGGGTGTAGAAGCGCTCGTTCCGACGGTTTTTCTTCCGCCGGGTCACGTGTCTGCGCCTGTCTGATCCTTTTACCAAGCCTGGAAGGGCGTGGGAGGTTCGCTAGCAGCATCGTTCATTGGCGCTTGCAAATGAAGAGCGCCCGCTGCACTTCCTGCTCATGTGCGGCTCATTCCGCGTTTTGGGGGTGGAAGCGCTCGTTTGGAGCGTTTTTCTTCCGCCGGGACATGTGGCTGCTCTTGTCTGGTCCTCTTACGAAGCCACCAAGGGCGTGGGAGGGTTGCAAGCATCATCGGTCGTCGGCGCTCGCGAATGAAGAGCGCACGCTGCACTTCCTACGCGTGTGCGGCTCATTACGCGTTTTGCGGGTGGAAGCGCTCGTTCGGAGCGTTTTTCTTCCGCCGGTTCACATGGCTGCGCTTTTCTGGTCCTGTTACTAAGCCAAAAAGGGCCTGGGAGGGTTGCAAGCATCATCGG